AAAAAACGCAGAGGGAAAGACATGCGAGGAAAGGGGGAGCATATGAGGAGCGAGGTGCAAGAAAGGAGACACAAGGTGGAAAAAAATGCAATGCATGGGAAAACGGAGACACACAAGGAAAGAGTGCAAGAGGTGTGACATTACCTGAATACAAACAATGTCTGCCTTGATTTCCTTCTCAAAGAAGTGCTCAACTGTTCCATAGCGATTGATGACCTCTTTCAGCGTGGTGGCAACTCCATTCACATTCCACGAGACAATGCGCAGACAAGATGGGGCTTCTTTCACTTGCTGACCTTCAACCATCGCTGTCAACACACAAAGAGTACTAATAATAATTAAAAAAAAAAAAAAACGTTCGAAAGCGAGCGCCCTTGTGCAGCTTGGGGGAGGCGAGACCCCCCACTTCATGCGACAGGCGCCCTTGTGCAGCTCCTGCTCCAATACGCGACTACCCCGTGTAGGCTGCTGCCATCAGCCACCGCAGCACCTTCATCTCCTTGAACACCTCCCGCCCATACGCTCGCGTTGATTTCAACAGCCTGAGGAGTGAATGCTTCGCTCGGCAGCTCAATTGCGTTGGCGGATGGATATCAATCAACCAGAGCAAAAAGAAGAAAGAAGAAGCAAGAAGAAGAAAGAAGAAGAAACAAAAAGCCCAACGGTCATACACTTGCTCTCTCGAACACGCCGAACGTCAAAACGCAAACTACACTCTCGTGTTCCGTGAACTCTGAGCGCTATCATAGACCTGTCTCTTATACACATCTAGATGTGTATAAGAGACAGCATTTAGAACATTGTGCAGTTTAAAAACAAAACAAAACAAAAAAAAAGAACATCATCGCTGCTGTCTCTTATACACATCTAGATGTGTATATTATACAACTACAAGCCGAAGTCTAAGCTAAGTCCTACGCCCAACGTCTGGATTCAGTAAAACCCAACAGATCCCGACCTATCACGACTGCCATGTCTCTCNAAAAAAAAAAAAAAAAAAAAAAACATCATCGCTGTGAGAACAAAACAAAAAAAAAGAACATCATCGCTGTGACAAAAAACAAAAAAAAGAACATCATTAAACGAGCCCGATTTTCGGAAAAGACGCGGGAATCATTTGTTAGAACAAAGAAAAGACGCGGGAACAAAGAAAAGACGCGGGAATCATGTTGTTAGAACAACAGCCCGCCTTTTTTTTCCTTCCGTATCATCAGCGCGATTTGACCGGCTACATCAGGATTCGAACACGGGTGTTTTCATGCACGGCAGTTCCTGGGTGCACCATTCAGCCTCATGGATCATGGATTGGGTTCGGAGCCCGCTTCAGTACTCGGGACTGGACATGGGCCTCGCCACACTACTCCCGACTTGGAGCCTCGTTCCACACCACTAGGGGAACTCTAGAGTTTCAAGAGCGCCCTAATCACAAACAAAATCGTGATTAATTTACACTACGCCCCCTCGTCGTTCCATGTGCACTAGAGGCCGTCTTTGAAAAGGTCGCACTTGACGCAGAAACACACTGGCTCCCCCTTGTGCGGATACCTGCTGGCGGCCATGTGCATCCAATAGGCCGGCACCCAGCCGAAAAGATGTCCGCCTGCTGTCCGGTGTTTGGGACTTGAGAGTCTGGCCTAGGGGGGGGGAGATGCCAGCACGTGCACGCCGGGTTTTTTCAAATTTAAACTTTCGATGGCCGCAATCCGGCACCCCGCGGCGTCGCCCCCCAGTGGGGGATCCCTGAAGGCTATCAGGCCACCCTAAGGCTATCAGGCCACCCTGGGCTGAAAAGGCCACCGTTGTCAGATTAGACACAAGATTGAATTTACCTGGGCTGGTTAGTCCGATGATAATACCTCAAGGCCATCGCCCCCAATAAAAATAAATAAATAAATAAAATAATTGGCACAGCCTCCCAAGTGGACATAGGTCAATGCGTGTGCGCGTGCTGGAGGGTGCAGTGCTGGACGGTGCAGTTTTGCTTAGCCGCGAGCTGTTTGCTGTGGCTTTGGCTTGCGGATACTGCCATCTCCGAGGTGGAGGTGGACATCGGTCTGTGTACCCCAGTGCGTGTGAGGGTGCTTCTTCATGGAGGACGTGGAGTTCGCTGCCATCTCTGTGGTGGGCTCTGCACCGCACAGTACTCCAACAGGCCGCTGCAACGGTCGCCCCGCGCCTGAACTCCAACTGGCCGCTGCAATACACAGCCACCACAGTCCACAGTTCCACAGGTGGCACCCGGCTGGACCGCGAGAAGGACTGGCCAAAAAAAAAAAAACGCGGCTGAAACCCAAGGGATGCTCTTGAACTCGAGGCACCTCGGGGAGGTGACTTGAACTCAAGTGCGATTTTGGCTGGGCTGCACTTGAGTTTCAAGAGCGGGCACTTAGGATGCAAAATGTGAAAACAAAAAGCCAATTCTCTAGGGGGGGGTTGGAGCGACGATTTTTCTCGTCGCACTTGAACTCAAGTGGTGTGGAACGAGGCCCTTGGGCATTTTCGGAAGTGCAGCATCGCCACACCAGCTCCCGAGTTCAACCTGTCAGATTGAATTCGGGAGCTGTCAGAATGTGGCTCCCGAGAGCACTCCCGAAATCGCTTGAGCCTCCCGCCCGTAAAAGGCCATTTTTGGGAGACCTCTCGCGAAGGCTTGTGTTTAGGTCGGAGAACTCGTGCACAGACAAGCATTCTCCTCACAGTTTTTGCCGCCAGATGCTGGACAGTGCTGGACAGTCTCTATCTGAAGTGCGCCTCCTAGCCTCTAAATCGGAGAGAGCCCCAAGTCGGGAGCGCAATGTGGCAAAGCGCAATCCCGAATGGATTTTCGCGTCTTCTGACATTCGGGAGTACTCCCGAAAATTTTCTCCAAGTCGGGAGTAGTGTGGCGAGACCCATAGATGGCTTCTCTTTCCTTTCTCCATGCCTTACCTGCCGAAGAGAACTTGAGGGTAAAAAAGAAGCACCCAGATTGGGACAATACGAGGATAATGGGCATGGCCCTGCGAAGCGAAAATGCGTGTTGTCGGTGCAAATACCCTTAGAAGGGTATCCCCCTGGTTTTGCAAGTAACAGGAAAGGATTTTGATTTCAAATTTAGGAGCGTCATGCAAGCAGGTCAGTTTTTCTTGTTGTGATCAATTGAGTATTCGGGAGAAAAGTAGGGAGTGTGTGGTCACGCAACTTTAAGGCGCATGTGATTTTTTTTTATATTACGAGTCCGCACGCTTGGCGGCTAGTTCTTTTATGCTTGTCAGGATTAAGTGATATTTTTCTTGGTTAATATGTTTGACCGTGATGCGTGTGCACGCATGCGGAGGTCGGCTTTGGCGGTGGTGCGGCTTTTCTGTGGTGAACGGAGTGAGCAGTGGAGTAAAAACACGGATCGGGCCTCCGCACTGTAAATGCGGGAGCTTGGAGGGTGTGGATGCGACTGATAGGCGGAGGTGTGGCCTTGGAGTGTTTCAGTAGGCCCACGCACCGCGCGACACCCGTTTATATAGGTGTGCGTTAGCGCTAAACCCAACCTTGGGCCAAGCGTTATTGGTTACGACATCGGACTTACGATTCAGAGGTACTGAGATCAAGGTCAGTGACCAGCGGCAATGGAACGGTGGAGTAGCAAAGGAAATCAAGAGGTTGAGGGTCCGGCAGGACTACCCTTTTTAGTTTTATTGTCGGTCCCAATCGTGGGCCTGATTGGTGGGGCCGAGGAGGTGCCAACGGTCCCCCCCCCCTCTCACTCAAAACTTCGATACTTCCTAATTTTTATTTATTTATTTATTTATTTATTTATTTAAAGTCTAATTGTTGGGCCCAGTACTGGTGGTGATTCCGGTGTCGGGCGGCCGCAGACCAGTTGGCCACTCGAAATACGAAGGATTGGGCCTTGGGATAAGTGTCTAAGGAGGAATCGCCCGACACTTTCATCAGGGCCGTCGGAAAAAATTAGGGGTCGGAAAGGGATCCCTAAGATTTCCCCCATCGATTATTAAAACTAACCCTTGGAACCAACATGACGAACGGTCGCGCCTGCCGCGCCTAACACCTGTCATTTCCGTTCGTTCTGAGATTGCATCCGAAGCGGCCGACCGTGCTGCGGAGATAAGGCATTAGGCCTCGGCGCACCCCATTTACACCAGGCAATTGACTAGGGAGTGAACGCTCAATTTTTACTGATTTTAACAATAGAATTAAGACTAAGGAAATGAATTAAAAATAATAAAAGGGAAGATAATAAAGGGATATTTGCTATTTGATTAAATTTCATCGGGATTTGTCCTTAATAGGATTGTCTTCGATATTTATTAATTCCAATAACAGAATTGTAAATGCGTAAAAAAACTAAAAATAATAAGAGAGGAGAAAAAAAATGAATATTATTATTTGATGAATTTTTGCCAAATTATATTTTTGATAAATATTTGCTGGGAATTATTTATTTCACCCGGAGTCCACTGATCCATGCGAGTCCTGATAGCTATGAACCCATGCTTGATTGTACCCGATTCGCCTGATTGCTACCCTCGGTATGACCCACTGTTATTGAGTGAGTGAACCGACTTTGGGTTACGACAAAATGGTCGGTGTGATGCTATTTCTGGTAATACTCTGGCATGGGCTACCCGGCCTTATTATTTTGGTGCGACGCTGGTTAAGAACGAGCATGGCGCATTGGTTCGGAACAGGTATGGTATGCTACTGGGACAACATTGGTACAGGTTACTACGGTTCAATGTTTGAGATGATTGACACAACGACATGCAGTTACTGGTTTGGATTGCCACGACTACAGGTTCGGCATTGGTATGGTACCGGGATGGCATATTGCGGTTTGACGTTACTATTTTGGGTACGGTCATTGGTCCGGTTCTGGGATGGCACGCTTGTTGTTTTCCATGGTGTTTAATCCGACAATGATTGCACCCCTGTTGGTTTGATACTAATGCCCTTCACTGAGGTTATGTCTATTTGGAGCTCTTTGCTGCGTTTGCTACTGTGGAATGGGGGGGCAAGTTCGAAGAGATTTTGGGGTTGACGAAGACTTTCTAGACCTACAACGGCACTACAGTGTGTGGTTCGAAAACATTTATTTTTTTTTCCCTTTTTTTATGCTACTGGACCGGCGCCGCGGGGGTTGTACGGTTGGATGAGGGGCTTGTTCGGGACTTTTGAGTACTACTACGTCCTCTGCCAGGTACCGTTGGAATTACTTGGGGCCCAATGCAGTGTCGTTACTGGTCTGGAGCTAAGTCGCTGGCCAAGCCTACGACCTGCAATTTTTGGAGCCCTGTCACTACCTGAGCCTGGGGCTCAAAGGCTCGGTACCCGCAAGATTGAGGTCTCTTGACGAAGAGTCCTGGTGAGTCCAATGCCTACGGGCCAGGTCTCCGCTTGAGGCGGAGTTGTGCCGCGAATAGAA